TCTCCTGTGGTGTGTTCTATAGGGTTCTGTGTTCTATAGCGTTCTGTGTGTTCTATAGGGTTCTGTGTTCTATATGGTTCTGTGTTCTATAGGGTTCTGTGTTCTATATGGTTCTGTGTTCTATAGGGTTCTGTGTTATTTCTGTGTTATATAGGTTTCTGTGTTCTATAGGGTTCTGGGTTCTATAGGTTTCTGGGTTCTATAGGTTTCTGGGTTCTATAGGGTTCTATAGGGTTCTGTGTTCTATTGGGTTCTGTGTTCGATAGGTTTCTGTGTTATATAGGGTTATGTGCTCTATAGGGTTCTGTGTTCTATAGGGTTATGTGTTCTATAGGTTTCTGTGTTCTATAGGGTTCTGTGTTCGATATGGTTATGTGTTCTATAGGGTTATGTGTTCTATAGGGTTATGTGTTCTATAGGGTTATATGTTCTATAGCGTTATGCGCTCTATAGGGTTATGTGCTCTATAGGGTTATGCGTTCTATAGGGTTCTGTTTTCTATAGGGTTCTGTTTTCTATAGGGTTATGTGTTATATAGGGTTATGTGTTATATAGGGTTATGTGTTATATAGGGTTATGTGTTATATAGGGTTATGTGTTCTATAGGGTTATGTGTTCTATAGGGTTCTGTGTTCTATAGGGTTATGTGTTCTATAGGGTTCTGTGTTCTATAGTGTCTGTGTTCTATAGGGTTATGTGTTCTATAGGGTTATGTGTTCTATAGGGTTATGTGCTCTATAGGGTTATGCGTTCTATAGGGTTCTGTTTTCTATAGGGTTCTGTTTTCTATAGGGTTATGTGTTATATAGGGTTATGTGTTATATAGGGTTATGTGTTATATAGGGTTATGTGTTCTATAGGGTTATGTGTTCTATAGGGTTCTGTGTTCTATAGGGTTATGTGTTCTATAGGGTTCTGTGTTCTATAGGGTTCTGTGTTCTATAGGGTTCTGTGTTCTATAGGGTTATGTGTTCTATAGGGTTCTGTGTTCTATAGGGTTATGTGCTCTACAGGGTTATGTGCTCTACAGGGTTCTGTGTTCTATAGGTTTCTGTGTTCTATAGGGTTATGTGTTCTATAGGGTTCTGTGTTCTATAGGTTTCTGTGCTCTATAGGGTTCTGTGTTCTATAGGTTTCTGTGTTCTATAGGTTTCTGTGCTCTATAGGGTTCTGTGTTCTATAGGTTTCTGTGCTCTATAGGGTTCTGTGTTCTATAGGGTTATGTGCTCTATAGGGTTCTGTGTTCTATAGGGTTCTGTGTTCTACAGGGTTATGTGTTCTTCAGGGTTATGTGCTCTATTGGGTTCTGTGTTCTATAGGGTTCTGTGTTCTACAGGGTTATGTGTTCTTCAGGGTTATGTGCTCTATTGGGTTCTGTGTTCTATAGGTTTCTATGCTCTATAGGGTTATGTGTTCTATAGGGTCTGTGTTCTATAGGGTTATGTGTTCTATAGGGTTCTGTGCTCTATAGAGTTATGTGTTCTATAGGGTCTGTGTTCTATAGGGTCTGTGTTCTATAGGGTCTGTGTTCTATAGGGTTCTGTGTTCTATAGGGTCTGTGTTCTATAGGGTCTGTGTTCTATAGGGTTCTGTGTTCTATAGGGTGCTGTGTTCTATAGGGTCTGTGTTCTATAGGGTTCTGTGTTCTATAGGGTTCTGTGTTCTATAGGGTTCGGTGCTCTATAGGTTTCTGTGTTCTATAGGGTTATGTGTTCTATAGGGTTCTGTGTTCTATAGGTTTCTGTGCTCTATAGGGTTATGTGTTCTATAGGGTTCTGTGTTCTATAGGGTTCTGTGTTCTATAGGGTTCTGTGCTCTATAGGTTTCTGTGTTCTATAGGGTTATGTGTTCTATAGGGTCTGTGTTCTATAGGTTTATGTGTTCTATAGGGTTCTGTGTTCTATAGGTTTCTGTGCTCTATAGGGTTATGTGTTCTATAGGTTATGTGTTCTATAGGGTCTGTGTTCTATAGGGTTCTGTGTTCTATAGGGTTCTGTGCTCTATAGGTTTCTGTGTTCTATAGGGTTATGTGTTCTATAGGTTATGTGTTCTATAGGGTTCTGTGTTCTATAGGGTTCTGTGTTCTATAGGGTTCTGTGTTCTATAGGGTGCTGTGTTCTATAGGGTTCTGTGTTCTATAGGTTTCTGTGCTCTATAGGGTTATGTGTTCTATAGGGTCTGTGTTCTATAGGGTCTGTGTTCTATAGGGTCTGTGTTCTATAGGGTCTGTATTCTATAGGGTCTGTGTTCTATAGGGTTCTGTGTTCTATAGGGTTCTGTGCTCTATAGGTTTCTGTGTTCTATAGGGTTATGTGTTCTATAGGGTTCTGTGTTCTATAGGTTTATGTGTTCTATAGGGTTCTGTGTTCTATAGGGTTCTGTGTTCTATAGGGTTCTGTGTTCTATAGGGTTCTGTGTTCTATAGGTTTCTGTGTTCTATAGGGTGCTAGGGTATATGTGTGCTGTATAAATAAACTTGCGTTGCCTTGCCTTGCCACAAGCCACAAAAATAAATGTTCCTGAAGTGCTTCTTTTTAAATAATGACCTGGTTCCTCCTCCTCCTCCTACCTGTGTCAGGTAGCTGCGCTGCGTACTCCTGAGGGAGGGTCAGCAGGGCGTAGTCCTGCAGCGCAGACAACCACAGGCGGCTCAGCGTACACAGATCTGATTGGACCAACTTCAGGAGGCCCGCCCCTCCAGACTCTGAGCCTGAGCTGTCATTGGCCAGAGAGGAGGAGACTGAGAGGTCAGCCGTCCTATCAGAGCTCTCCTCCTGTCTGCTCCTCTGAACCGCCACAATGTAAACCTGAGAGACACAAGACAATCAGATAATATCAAAGTCAAATAAGGACCCCCTTGAAAACAAAATGGTTCATCTCAAAGGGTTAATCCTAAATAAATACATTTCAGTAAAATACTCCAAGAATATACAATATATACATATATATTTTAATTGCAGCTCTAAATGAAATAAGTTACTCTTAGATGTATTGTTGTCTCTTTTATTTAGTAATAAAGACACATTTCCTTGTAATGTTTTATTTTATTTAAGCTTTCCACAAATTTACAATCCTGTACCTTCAATATAATCTGCTGTGTTTATATTTTAAAATCTTCATGAATATAACTGTATAATATTTAATACTAATGGAAATAGGCTTTGAAACAACAATATACTGTATTTAAATATATATTTGGGCCAAATACAAATATTTCTTCGTGAAAAACTTTCAAAGTTTTCATTGCAAAAAATTAAAATGTAAATAATCAAAAACGATATAACACACCTCGGCCCAGGCCTTCAGGACAGCCAGTGTTTCCATGGTGACGGTGGCCTCGTTGTACAGCTGGCTGGACGGGTCCCTCCCCGCCTGGACTTTAGCCAATGAGGAGGCAAGGAGCTGGTGGACGCGCCGCAGGTCGCGCAGGTCACTGACCACACCGCTCGCTATCCAGGCGCTGCACACCTGAGAGGGGTCAAAGGTCACAGCAGGTTACACAACATGGTGTTTGATGAAGTCTCTGACAGCTGTAACCTGGCAGCACCACAAGTAAACATTTAGATTTATTAAAATGATTTGTGATGATTGGTCACCTGGCAGGCCTTGGCGGTGATGTCAGGAGGAGCGTCAGCAGAGAAGGCTGGTCTGAGAGCAGCTCCAACCTGCACATAAAATACATGAACAATTATAACCATTAATCAGTGTATCACACAGCCATCCAAATAGAGCATTTATTTCCTTTTTTTTTCAAGTTTAATAGGATAACAACAATTCTGCAAAAAGTAATCCAAATATTAAATCAGTAGTGAAAATAATAACAGTATGTTTTGAAGATTAAAACAGAACAATAGCTGTGAGAATAACTCCTCCAGGTTATCAGAATACACATTTCCCTCCACTGCAACTTCTCTGTATTCTGTTTTTCTTTAAGACCTTGTTTTTTTTTTATATAACCCTTGTGCGTCACTTCAAAGAAAGACAGAAACTTAACAGCCAATAATGTTTTTTTGTGCTGAAAATTAGGAATGTAGCATGTTTGGTTTTCTTTTGGCTACACTCTGATCTAGCTTCCAACAAAATACAATTGGATACCAAATGCATTGTCACAGCAAATATGATAACACAATGGAAATGTTAAAGCCAAAACACCCCTTGTGATGCACAGTTGGATCAGTCCTTACGTTGGCCTGGTACTGCTCCAGGATCACATGACCGGGGAACTCTGGTTCAGGGATGGCAGAGAAGCGTCTGATGATAACGAGCAGGGTCTGAAGACCTGCCAGTCTCAGCTGGTCGCTGTGATCCGTCGCCGCCATGAAGGCCATGCGGACCAGGTCAGCCAGGTGGAGCACCAGGAAGTCTGAGGGGGGGGGGGGGGGGGGAGGTGAGGGTTAGGGTTAGGGAGGTCTGCAACTTAAAGGTTTCCTATCATGCTATTTTTAGGGCACATATTATGGTTCTCAGATATAAAAAACATGTCTATGATGTGTTTTGCTCAAAATACAAACAGATGATGCATTTTAGACATCCCTCATATCCCTCTATTCCAGCCCTGTGAGAGGCTGCGTCTCACTTCAGTTATTTCTCATTTCCTCGCTCCTCGGTCTCGGTATCACCAGAAGTTGATTTGTCTGCGCCATCTTGAGTAGCGTCCCAGCGGCCTTATTTGTGCCGGAGGAGCGAGGATCGAGGAGTTATAACGGAGGAGCGATAATCGAGGAACCACCAGACCATCCTTCGATGAAATCCTCAGCCACTCGCCCCGCCCCCTTATTGTGTATCGCTCACTGATTGGACGATGCAGTGCATGCACTGATCTGATGCTTCTTGACATGAGAGCAGTTTCCCAGCGGAGTGAAGAAAACACATGAACCTCACGAGAGTCACTCCTCAGTTTATTCTGTGTTTTGTTTCAATTCATGTTTCATTTAGTGACAAATATGTGATATATCTGAACAACTAAGTGGTCAAAAATCATTTTATTCATTTATTGGAAACATTTTCATGATCGCTTTTTTCGTTTATACATTCTAAGAATGGCGTTTATCTTTTTTGAGAATTACTTCTTATTTTATTTTATTTATTGGGGTCTACAACAGATGATACTAATGTTTGTGTCAGTAAATGTGTGCTAACAGAGGCGGGGGTGTGTGTGGAAATAACGGGGACAGAGCTGCTGTCAGACGATCAGCTGTGCAGCGTCATCACAAACGGACGTCGCTTCACGTGACGCTCCGGAGGAAACGACGTCCCATTGCTCCTAAAACTCATTTCCCTGCTTCTCGTGGTTTCCTTGCGTCCCTCCATGCTTCCCTGGTGGGAGGGACTAAACGCAGGGAAACGACGCAAGGAATCCATTTAACCGACCTGAGACGCAGCCCCAGAAGGGCCGATTCTGGGTCCTTAGCTTTAAAAAAAAAGATTCTCAGCTAAATGCTGCCGTGATGAAACGCCATCATGTTCCAAACCACATCAAGGATTATTTCTGAAACAGTATGGAGCTCAAATGCTTTTTCTCTAGCGGGTTTACCACAAGGTGAGTTCCTTTCTTTATTTCACATACTCTCTCCAGTACAGGTTAGCTATGAGTGTTAGCGATGATTGCTAATGTAAACAAAGACCATATCACGTCCAAAACGTTGCGTATTGCGCAAACGTTTCTGATTGGGCCGTGGGTCCACATTTCAGATATTACGTCATATCGGACGCAAATCTGGATCAGCTCCGTTGTTCCCCCGTTTTTAGAGATTTGGGTACGGAGGAAAAGAGAGAGGGTTTTATTTCCTGACACTTTGTGATTCTCCTGACACACCAGGGACACATGTTTATGTATAAGAGACATCAAAAAGTGCATTTTGAACGGTAGGACACCTTTAACATTCTGCACTCTCTTACCTGTGCTCTCCTGCAGGCGGCGCTCCTGAGCCAGAGCCATGTCGAAGTGCGCCGGGTCAGAAGTCTCACACTGAGCGATGATGCGACACACACACTCCATGGCGAAGCGGCGCGTGGCCCAGCGCAGCGCGGTGAACGGGCCGCTGGACTCAGAGCGAGCTTTGAAGGCCGAGGAGTCGTCGTCTCGAGCGGCGTCCGCCTCCTCCTCCTCCTCCTGACGCAACTCCACCGGAGCCCGACAGTCTGAGAGAGATTACAGAAAGGTTCATCCCTGACAGTGGAAACTACAGGTCCACTAACGAGCTTGTATTAGCATTTTAGGATCTTCATTACCTTCATAAATATGAACTCAACCGTTCGCAACTTGGGTCACAAAGTTTATCGGCTGGTATTTATATTTTATAGATTTGTATTTTAATCCGTCTGTATAAATGTTAGTGTGATAGAGAATATGTAATGTTTCAATGTTTGATGATTGGGATTTATATTTATGATTTATATGTATTTAGAAACCACCTTCTGACATTACATTAAATGAATGTAATGATATTGATCTAAGGACAACAGAAAGTCAACACATCTTCACTTGCAGACTGAAAAACCACCTGTTTCCACTGCAGCCTGGCTTTTTTACTAAATATCTTCACAGTCGATTGCACTTTTTGTAAAGTGCTTCTGATGAAAGCGCCAGCCAAATAAAATGCAGGGTAATAAATAAAAACATCACCCTTTGCAGGCTGCTTCACGTCTAAGCTCACCAAATATTGTTTATTTCTATTAGCACAAGTACTGTTGGGTTGGGGGGATGGGGAGGGTAGGACTATCTCCGGCATAATTATTTGTTCACTAGACTTTGCTGCTGGTGTTTTTTTTTATTTTCTATACTTTTTGAATGTAATGCTACATGTTTTCACAACTCACTGCATTGTTGGACGCTTTCACACCGCAGTACTTTTCCCAGTATAGTTCCGAAAATGTGCGTTCACACCAACAAAATTCGGAACTAAAATTAGTTCATGAGAACCTTTCCAGCCCCTTTTCAGTCCCTGCTAGAGAGCAGGTACTTTCATGGGAGAAAAAGGTTCCCATTTCTGATTGGCTGGGCGGATTGCAAGCCACGCCCCGTAAAACTCCCAAAAAGTTTTGTGAAGACGCCAGTTTATTTGCTCGCATTAGCATTATTAGCATTAGCATTAGCCCAGCGTACCAACGGAGAGAGACTAACTTATGGCAACACAAAAGAAAACATGGGAGCGGTGGAGATGAGGAGGTGTCGGTGTTCTGGCGATTTACTCTGAAGGCTTCAGTAGAAGCTGCCCATCTGTGGGAATTCTGTGTTGAACAAGAAAATTCATAAAAAGATTTGGAAAACAAAGAACAAGTACTGCAACAATTGAACCCACCGGTGGTTGCAGAGAGGACGTCCTTGCACAGTTTGAGCCAGTGTCCCAGCTTCCCGCTGGTGGCGCTGGAGGACATCATGTGGACCAGCGTCTCCTGGATGTCCCGCCTCAGACCGGGATCAGACTCTCGGTCCAGCAGAGTGAACAGAGCTCCTTCCAGACCCACCTCCTTTATGGTGACGTCTGCAGAGAGAGGGGGGGTGTTAGGTGTCAGTGTAGGGAGAAATAATTGTCTTGATGTTCTGAATGATGGGAAAGAAATATGTGTAATAAACTGTGAATGCAACATGAAATACAATAAAGATAAATCACTGTGTTTCGGACTGAATGTGCCGCAAATATGTTATTCATAAAAAGGGAAAAAAATAAGTTTATGATTAAACGGAATAGGCGGAACTAACGCTATTTGTCATTCTAGTCGGACCCATTCGAGCGTAAAAACTATAAGTATCTGAAATAAATATGTGTACTGAAACAAATACCAATAACTGTATTGCATTGTTTTCTTATGCGCAATTACTTCATACTGTCTTTGTCTTTTTGGTCCTGCATTTATTGTGCCCCCCTCAGAAAATAACTGGCCCCAGCCTGGCCCCCCCAGTCAAATTGGTCTAGAACCGCCACTGCTTGGATGTGCTTTTCATAATAAGAACGTAATGGAATTGTTGTGAATTCTGAATGTGGAAAACTAGATGTTAATGAAGAAGTAATGTAACTTTTTCTGGAAACATCATATAGGAAACACATTGTAATGCCAGGAACAGTATTATTAAACGTATTCAAACATGCCTGGATGTTTAAACTGACATGATAATATAATATAATGAATGTATTAAGCTTTAGCTGCTGACCCAGCTGTGTGTTGTCTCGTCTGGGCAGCTCTTTGACCAGCGTCACAGCGTGTTCAGAAACCTCCAGCGCCTCCCGCTGCACCAGCTGCCGCAGACACGCAACCACGGCCCGGCGCAGACACAGGTACGAGCTGCACAGGTGGGCCTGACACACACACACACACACACAGTTAACACAGAATTGAGTTAACACTGCTTCTCTGTTATCACAGCAGGTGTAAGGTGTATCAGGCATGCAGCTACACACAATGTTTCCTCCAGTTTCAGAAATTAAACTTTTCAAACATTTTCATATTTGAATTACTAAATAATTAATTGACTACATTTCCTCAAAACATCTGTTAAAATAGTGATAATTATTAGCTACGAGTTCCCTAATCTAGAAAAACACAGATTGATTACATTCGATGTAAGATTAGATATACTTTTTGGATATCAAACCAAGAAGATGTTGGATATTCTTTCCTTGACGAAACAATTAGTGTTTTATCCAAATAGTATTTTTATTATAATTATTATTATTATCTAAAAGAATAGATTGCTAACTGCTGGTTAATGAGTTATGTTAAGGATCCTTTATCATTGAATAAATTCACAGGATGACTCTTAGTAATAATATTTAGATGAATTTGAGAGTTCTTTCTGGAGGAAACACTGAGTATTTTCACTGTAGGAGAAACAAACAGCCAGCAGGCAGGGGGTTAGTGCAGTGTTAAAGTAAACTGAAAAACACGTGCGGGTTATTAGGGTACCAACAGAAAAGATGATAAACCTGTGTGACGTGTTTCATGTTATGAACATGAAAGTGTTGATGGAGAAACAAGCTGAAAAGTAAAGTGAGACAAACAGCTTCAGGCCTTTCGAGAGAGAACCTACCAACAAAGAATAATCCAACAAGATCTCCTGCAAGACACAACACAGGGTCAAAGTACTCAAAATAAGCCCTTGATATTTGTTTGGTTACAGTGTTACTAACAGATCATTGAATTGATGTTAATTGCATTGTTTTTGGGTATTCTTTAGTTGATTCTGTGTCTAACATTTTATAAATAAATGTTTTTCACCACAACTAAGACTAAAGAGGTGTGAACAATTGGCTTAGTCAAAGCTCTTCCCCTTCCCCTTCAGACATTTGCTAAAAACAATATAACTCTATGCTGTAGGTGTATATCAGTGTAGTTCAGGTCTAGTTCAGGTGTAGTTCAGATGTAGTCAGGTGTATATCAGGTGTAGTCGGGTGTATATCAGGTGTAGTTCAGGTGTACTCAGGTGTATATCAGGTGTAGTCAGGTGTAGTTCAGATGTACTCAGGTGTATATCAGGTGTACTCAGGTGTATATCAGGTGTAGTCAGGTGTAGTTCAGATGTACTCAGGTGTATATCAGGTGTAGTTCAGATGTAGTCAGGTGTATATCAGGTGTACTCAGGTGTATATCAGGTGTAGTTCAGATGTAGTCAGGAGTATATCAGGTGTACTCAGGTGTATATCAGGTGTAGTTCAGGTGTACTCAGGTGTATATCAGGTGTAGTTCAGGTGTACTCAGGTGTATATCAGGTGTAGTTCAGGTGTAGTTCAGATGTAGTCAGGAGTATATCAGGTGTACTCAGGTGTATATCAGGTGTAGTCAGGTGTATATCAGGTGTACTCAGGTGTATATCAGGTGTAGTCAGGTGTAGTTCAGATGTAGTCAGGAGTATATCAGGTGTACTCAGGTGTATATCAGGTGTAGTCAGGAGTATATCAGGTGTATATCAGGTGTACTCAGGTGTATATCAGGTGTACTCAGGTGTAGTTCAGATGTAGTCAGGAGTATATCAGGTGTACTCAGGTGTATATCAGGTGTAGTCAGGTGTAGTTCAGATGTAGTCAGGAGTATATCAGGTGTACTCAGGTGTATATCAGGTGTAGTCAGGAGTATATCAGGTGTAGTCAGGTGTATATCAGGTGTACTCAGGTGTATATCAGGTGTACTCAGGTGTAGTTCAGATGTACTCAGGTGTATATCAGGTGTAGTCAGGAGTATATCAGGTGTAGTCAGGTGTATATCAGGTGTACTCAGGAGTATATCAGGTGTACTCAGGTGTATATCAGGTGTACTCAGGTGTATATCAGGTGTAATCAGGTGTACTCAGGTGTATATCAGGTGTACTCAGGAGTATATCAGGTGTACTCAGGTGTATATCAGGTGTACTCAGGTGTAGTTCAGATGTAGTCAGGAGTATATCAGGTGTACTCAGGTGTATATCAGGTGTAGTCAGGAGTATATCAGGTGTACTCAGGTGTATATCAGGTGTATATCAGGTGTAGTCAGGTGTCGTTCAGGTGTACTCAGGAGTATATCAGGTGTACTCAGGTGTATATCAGGTGTAGTTCAGGTGTACTCAGGTGTATATCAGGTGTAGTCAGGAGTATATCAGGTGTACTCAGGAGTATATCAGGTGTACTCAGGAGTATATCAGGTGTACTCAGGTGTATATCAGGTGTAGTTCAGGTGTACTCAGGTGTATATCAGGTGTACTCCGGTGTATATCAGGTGTAGTCAGGAGTATATCAGGTGTAGTCAGGTGTATATCAGGTGTACTCAGGTGTATATCAGGTGTACTCAGGTGTAGTTCAGATGTAGTCAGGAGTATATCAGGTGTACTCAGGTGTATATCAGGTGTAGTCAGGTGTAGTTCAGATGTAGTCAGGAGTATATCAGGTGTACTCAGGTGTATATCAGGTGTAGTCAGGAGTATATCAGGTGTACTCAGGTGTAGTTCAGATGTACTCAGGTGTATATCAGGTGTACTCAGGTGTATATCAGGTGTAGTCAGGTGTAGTTCAGATGTAGTCAGGAGTATATCAGGTGTACTCAGGTGTATATCAGGTGTAGTCAGGTGTAGTTCAGATGTAGTCAGGAGTATATCAGGTGTACTCAGGTGTATATCAGGTGTAGTCAGGAGTATATCAGGTGTAGTCAGGTGTATATCAGGTGTACTCAGGAGTATATCAGGTGTACTCAGGTGTATATCAGGTGTAGTCAGGAGTATATCAGGTGTACTCAGGTGTATATCAGGTGTACTCAGGTGTATATCAGGTGTACTCAGGTGTAGTTCAAATGTAGTCAGGAGTATATCAGGTGTACTCAGGTGTATATCAGGTGTAGTCAGGAGTATATCAGGTGTACTCAGGTGTATATCAGGTGTACTCAGGTGTATATCAGGTGTACTCAGGTGTATATCAGGTGTACTCAGGTGTAGTTCAAATGTAGTCAGGTGTATATCAGGTGTACTCAGGTGTATATCAGGTGTAGTCAGGAGTATATCAGGTGTACTCAGGTGTATATCAGGTGTATATCAGGTGTAGTCAGGTGTCGTTCAGGTGTACTCAGGAGTATATCAGGTGTACTCAGGTGTATATCAGGTGTAGTCAGGTGTAGTTCAGATGTAGTCAGGAGTATATCAGGTGTACTCAGGTGTACTCAGGTGTATATCAGGTGTACTCAGGTGTATATCAGGTGTACTCAGGTGTATATCAGATGTACTCAGGTGTATATCAGGTGTAGTCAGGAGTATATCAGGTGTAGTCAGGTGTATATCAGGTGTACTCAGGTGTACTCAGGTGTATATCAGGTGTACTCAGGTGTATATCAGGTGTAGTCAGGAGTATATCAGGTGTAGTCAGGTGTATATCAGGTGTACTCAGGTGTACTCAGGTGTATATCAGGTGTACTCAGGTGTACTCAGGTGTATATCAGGTGTAGTCAGGAGTATATCAGGTGTAGTCAGGTGTATATCAGGTGTACTCAGGTGTACTCAGGAGTATATCAGGTGTATATCAGGTGTAGTCAGGAGTATATCAGGTGTAGTCAGGAGTATATCAGGTGTACTCAGGTGTATATCAGGTGTACTCAGGTGTAGTTCAGATGTAGTCAGGAGTATATCAGGTGTACTCAGGTGTATATCAGGTGTAGTCAGGAGTATATCAGGTGTACTCAGGTGTATATCAGGTGTATATCAGGTGTACTCAGGTGTATATCAGGTGTATATCAGGTGTAGTCAGGTGTAGTTCAGGTGTACTCAGGAGTATATCAGGTGTACTCAGGTGTATATCAGGTGTACTCAGGTGTATATCAGGTGTAGTCAGGTGTAGTTCAGATGTAGTCAGGAGTATATCAGGTGTACTCAGGTGTATATCAGGTGTAGTCAGGAGTATATCAGGTGTAGTCAGGTGTATATCAGGTGTAGTCAGGTGTATATCAGGTGTAGTCAGGAGTATATCAGGTGTACTCAGGTGTATAGTATATCAGGTGTACTCAGGTGTATATCAGGTGTAGTCAGGTGTAGTTCAGATGTACTCAGGAGTATATCAGGTGTACTCAGGAGTATATCAGGTGTACTCAGGAGTATATCAGGTGTACTCAGGAGTATATCAGGTGTAGTTCAGATGTACTCAGGAGTATATCAGGTGTACTCAGGAGTATATCAGGTGTAGTTCAGATGTACTCAGGAGTATATCAGGTGTACTCAGGAGTATATCAGGTGTAGTTCAGATGTACTCAGGAGTATATCAGGTGTAGTTCAGATGTACTCAGGAGTATATCAGGTGTACTCAGGAGTATATCAGGTGTAGTTCAGATGTACTCAGGAGTATATCAGGTGTACTCAGGAGTATATCAGGTGTAGTTCAGATGTACTCAGGAGTATATCAGGTGTACTCAGGAGTATATCAGGTGTACTCAGGAGTATATCAGGTGTACTCAGGTGTATATCAGGTGTAGTCAGGTGTAGTTCAGATGTACTCAGGAGTATATCAGGTGTAGTCAGGTGTATATCAGGTGTAGTTCAGATGTACTCAGGAGTATATCAGATGTACTCAGGAGTATATCAGGTGTAGTCAGGTGTAGTTCAGATGTACTCAGGAGTATATCAGGTGTACTCAGGTGTATATCAGGTGTACTCAGGTGTATATCAGGTGTACTCAGGTGTATATCAGGTGTACTCAGGTGTATATCAGGTGTACTCAGGTGTATATCAGGTGTACTCAGGTGTAGTTCAGGTGTACTCACGCAGAGTGCAGGTACGAGGCTGGCCAGGTTGATGTGTGGAGGTGAGAACATGTGCAGCTGCTGCATACAGGAAATGGCTCTGGCCTGAACCAGAGAGTCCGGACTGTCCTGCATCACCCCGCAGCCAATCAGACAGCTGGAGCGCAGAGAGGACACTGCTGCACCCTCACCTGGCGGAGGAAACACACAGCATTCACACAAGGAGATTCAAGATTCCTACAGCTCCTTCACCTGACATAAAAACACAAACACACACCACTAGGGCTGCCTGATATTGCAATCGCGAAATGATTCACATTATTGAAGGGATTGATAATTCCGTAACCATAATTCTTCTTATCATTGAAAAGTTTATTAAATGATTATGCTGCTATAAGAGGATCTGCACCAAACACATACTGTAGGTGTTATTAAGTCTGGAGGCCTTGATATGTCTCCAGCTCCACAATACTTGATACAAAATATGTTATTTTAACACATATTTAGCCTTTAACAAATATTGTGCTTCCTGATATTTGAATCTGCACTTGATCATATTACACACACACACACACACACACACACACACACACACCACACACACACACACACACACACACACACACACACACACACACACACACACACACACACACACACACACACACACACACACACACACACACACACACACACACACACACACACACACACACACACACACACACACACACACACACACCACACACACACACACACACACACACACCACACACACACACACACACACACACACACACACACACACACACACACACACACACACACACACACCACTTGTGTCTCTGTTTATGTTCTTACCTTGCAGGTCGGGGCCCAGGCAGGTGATGAGGGCGTGTAGGCAGCGGCCCAGGCTGTGGTGCACCTCAGGGTGCGTGGGGGGGGCAGACAGCAGCAGCCGGAGCACAAGAGTGAAGGACGCCTCGGCATGGGCGCGGTACAAACCCCCGGAGAGATCCACCACCAGAGACATGCTGTGGAGAGACCAGGTCTGCAACACAGGGGGGAGAGTTTGGGTTTATTAGCACTTCTTTAATCAAATGTTTGAGGGTTAAGACTTGTTTTATGGTTCAAGGTTTACCTTCAGTTCAAGGAGTCTTTTGCGCTTTTGCACAGTTATGGTCAAAGACTCTTTCCACCTTGCTACCTTTCCTATTTTGAACGCAACCCTTTCTTTCATAGTTCTGACTTTTCTTTTGGACTTTTTTTCAGAATGTTGACTTTTTTTCAGAATTTTCACTTTTCTTTTATAGTTCTGACTTTTTCAGTTTTAGGGTTCAAGGTTTACTTGAAAAGGCCTTTTGCGCTTTTGCACAGTTATGGTCAAAGACTCTGGGTGTTCCTCAATGTCGAGGAAGGCTGCTCCAGAGCCACTATTTCAAGCATACTACGTCATCGAGTGCCGCCGAAGGACTGTTCCAATGTCCAGCATACTTGGAATTCTACCGAGCCCGGCGTACTTCGTAGCGAGACATTTCGAGGCTGCACATGTGTAGACTCCGCGGTCTCAAAATCCCCACAATGCTTTGCGCACGGACCAATTTCCCCAAATCTGTGGCGGAAAATATAAGGCGGGGCCTCTCATATGACGCACACCTGCACACTTGCTCGCCTGTTCCACTCTTCGTTTTCCGAATACCAGGAAATATTCTTGCCTCGCTTCTGAAGCAAGTGACTCGGAAGACATATGCTACCAAGCAAGCGTCCTCGACATTGAGAAACACAAAGTAAGAATCACCTCATCTGTGGATCTTTTTTGAAAAATGTAAGTAACAATGGACAAACAGACAGAGAAAGGACTGATGTGTGCGTACCTGGACCTCAGGTGAGGTGCTGTCCTGGCTCAGGGTGAACAGCACTCCCAGGCAGGTGGACAGGTGTTGAGCGGAGCTGATTCCTCCGGTGTAGCGGTGCAGCGCCCCCAGAGCCAGGGAGTAGCCACTGCGAGACGCTGCGTCCCGAGACGTCTTCAGCCTGGAGGTTCAGCACGGTTAGAGGCAGCAGTAAAGGTAGAAGAAGAATGGACTTCAGGATGCTAAAATATACCTGTTTCAAGTCTCTTTATGATGTATTTGGTGGATCAATAATAACTCAATATTTAATAACGATTAGTTACAAGGATTCAGCTCTTGAGATTTTTTTTTTTTACATTATTCATACTTTTTCATAATTTTGACTTTTCTTAAAATATTCTTGCTCTGAGAATTTAGACTATTTTCAGAAGTTAGATTTTTTTTCTCCATAATTTTGACTTTTTTTCATAGTTCATACTTTTTCAGAAGTTTGGACCTTCTTTCATCATTTTTATTTTTTTCATAATTTTGACTTTTCTCCAAAAATTCTGCCTTTTTTTCATAATTTTGACTTTTCTTAAAAAATGCTTGCTCTTGACAATTTAGACTATTTTCAGAATTTTGATTATTTTTCCAACATTTTGACTTTTTTTCATAGTTCATACTTTTTCAGAAGTTTAGACCTTCTTTCATAATTTTGACTTTTTTTTCATAATTATAATTTTTCTCAGAATTTTGACTTTTCTCCAAAAATTCTGACTTTTTTCTGAAGTTTTGACTTTCTCAGTATTTTTGGCTTTTTATCAGAAATGTGACTTTTTAGTATCCTTTCAGAATTTCGACTTTTGGGGTAAACGCAGACTAAAAGTCACTGTACGCTTAAAGAGGAAATCATTAATACTCCATTTCCACCTTTAAACACTGAAACAAGTCCAAAGGCTCCTCATGAGCCAAAGAAGTGCATTGACGGCCCGTCCACACGGCGGCGTGCGTTGAAGCTTCAACGCTTCTTCCCATTCACTTTGAATGGGGTGACGTCACGCTTTGCCGAACTGCATTGTGGTTCCGTCGCTTCGCTTTGCTCGCTTCAAAAGTTGAGCAAAGTTCAACTTTTCAAGCTTCGACGGAAGCGTCAGCCAATCAAATCATATGAGAGTAAAAGCTCTAGCCAATCAAACCGCGTGCTTGTGTGTCCGGGGCGGGAGATTCATGTGATTGGTTGTTGGTCGAGCTTCAGACACGCCCACCGGCAAGCTTCAACGCAGGCCGCCGTGTGGACGCTGCGTGAGAGACGTTTCCTGCCCAATAAAGACATCAAAGCATCATAACATGTTGAGACGCACTGATATATTTGGATCTCAAAGTTATTTAAAGCTTTTTGAACTATTTCTGGTTTGTTATGTAACAGTCTCTCTTTGTGAGGAATATTTTTGGAACATGACCTGAGTTTTTGCTGTTTCTACTTTAAGATCATAAAGACTGGAAATAGATTGCAATGATTTTGAAGACTTCTTGTTTCATGTAGTCTGTTCACAACAGCAGGAATCACGCTTCATTGTAATAGGAATATAAGAATACTTATTCAAATTAATTAAAACGTATTAACTTATTAAACGTATAAGTAAGTAAGGGAGCATTCGTCAAAGGTCCTCTCCTGCAGTGAGAGTCCACTCCAACACCGTCGGCAGCATCTTGAATATAAAGCAATGTATGAAGGTGTGTGTTAACGTACCTGTCGAAGCAGAGCAGGGACACGGACACGGTGAATCCGGGGTCTCCGACCACCTGAACCAGCCGAGCCAGACCCTCCGCAGCCAGACATCTGAGCAGGGGACTGACGCTCTCTAGCGCCCCCGAGAGGAGAGACAGAGCAGGGGAGCGAACCTCTTCTGGACCCAAAGAGCCACGGATACATCCCTGGTGCTGAGGAGGACGAGGAGGAGGACGAGGAGGAAGAGGAGGAAGAGGAGGACGAGGAGGAAGAGAATACAGGTAGGTTCCTTGAATCATGCTTTGTCAGAGGGTTGACTTTCAATGTTTGGTAGTAACAAAGACAAAAAACAAACAACTTTTTAAATGCTTGCTTTCTAAATGCGATTCACAAAGGAGCATCTCAATACTGATAGCTTTTGCGACACAGTGTTATGCACTTGCACTTGTGCATTACACTGCTAAATTCACGTCTTTGCATTAACACTTCATGTAATTGCTCTGCATTTGGTCTCCACACACCACAGGTCTTGGTGGGTGTGTTACCTTGAGCAGGCTGCAGAGGGCGGCACAAACGTGTGTCTGGACCGTCTGCTGCCGCTGACCCTTCAGCTGGTTCACTGTTTCCACAAACTGCTCCAATATCTTCACTCTGAGAAAGACAAATAATACATAAGCCACAAATGAGATAACAAAGAATAAATAAGTACAACATATAGGCCATATAAGGTGTAATACAATAAGGGTATAATACAATAAGGGTGCAGCAAACATAACAGGTATGGAGGGATGTGTGATGGGGTGTTGAATGACGGGTGGTTGCTGTAGTTAAATCAATAATAATCAGTGGTTTGAAGTGTCATTTAAGTAAATACTGCACATGTGATGGCAGCACATAGACTTGTTCATAGAGCTCAGCTTCGCTTATATTTTACATACATAAAGACATATGCTCATCCTATTAGTTTGCGTAGGTTTTCTGCAATTAAAACTCTCAGCACAAGTAGGTATAACATATTCAGCAATATTTGAGCAGTGTCTCAGTTTAAAATGTGCAAAGAGGAACAGCACAAGTGAACCGTGAGCCGTGAGTTCCCCACTAGTGTTAGTAACAGCATTACGGCAAAAAAATTAACCTTAGCCTTAGTTTCCAAAACTGAAACGCTGTATGAAATGTACACAATAATGTTCCTCCTTCTACTCCAGTTGGACTCAGATGTCGCATGTTCCTTGTTCATGTGATGCTTTGGTGTTTTTGTTTCTTTCCCATTAACTGTCAAGTGGGAACTACGTTTTTGTGTTTCTCTTATTTTCCTACGATACTGTTATGATTGGCTGTGAACAGTGGTGTAGAGGGGATGTTTTTACTGGGTGGACGCTATTTTAATTAGGTCATCCCAAACATTTGCACTCAGAAAACGGGCAGACAGGTCTACAGAAACTACCGGTATGCTTAGTCCTACTTTAGTTACTGCCTCTCTTACAACCTCAGATCCAGAGCCTGATACGGGTCCAGGTTCCTGCCGTGCGGACTGAGGCTGGAGAAAGGAGTATTTTTCATTATGGTCCTTGGTCTTGGAATGACCTTCAATCAAACCTAAAACTGAGGGCACTTGTCTCAATCGCATGTTTTAAGTTGAAGTTGTCTGAAGGTCCTTACCACCAGCTGCTCTTGTAGTAATAAGTAGTGCACCTTAATGTCCCAAATGTGCACAATGTAGTGACTGCTTTTCGTCTTTTGTTTACTCAGTTGTGTTCTCTGTATTTGATATGTCTGTGTTATGTGTAATAATGAGTAACGTTGCCAATCTCAATGTTTCTTATCTGGTTAAATAAAGGTTAAAAAATAAATGTAGTTACTGTACTGCAAAAAGTAGTATGGTTTCTCAAAACCATGAAAAAAAAAAAAATCATGCTTCAAAAAAGTGGGGGCTCCAAATAAGTGGGGGAACGGCGATCCCCCGCGTCCAACGACCAATATGAAGGACAGGCCATCTTTTTCTATTTGTTTTTTGGAGAAAGCGGCAGGCAATGTAAGATTATTTTCTTGTCCCTGCTCTTTTTCGGGTATGGTGTGTTTATAGAGACATGTAATTGTTATACATTAGGTTGTGCATAGTTACCATGAACGGAACAAATACAAATTAAATGAATGTACAGTAGGTTCCTTCTGATCAACATCAGCAGTGAGTATGGATATAGTTAAAGGGGACCTATCATGCAAAAGTCACTTGTTGATGTCTTGTATACATAAACATGTGTCCCCGGTGTGTCGGGGAACTCACGCAGCGTCAGAAAATAAAACCCTCTCTCTTTTCCTCCGTACCCAAATCTCTAAAAACGGGGAACAACGGAGCTGATCCAGATTTGCGTCCGATATGACGTAATATCTGAAATGTGGACCCACGGCCCAATCAGAAACGTCGCTATCAGAAACAATGCCCGACTGTTTTGGACGTAATATGGTCGGTGTTTACGTTAGCATCGCTAACACTCAGAGCTAACCTGTACTGGAGAGCATGTGTGTGAAGAAGCAGGAAGTAAAAAGGAACTCACCTTGTGGTATAACCGGCAAGAGAGAAAGCCTTTGAGCTCCAGACTGTTTCAGAGAGAATCCTTGATGATCCATGATATGGCGTTTCATCACGGCAGCATTTAGTTTAGACAGTAGCTGCCGGGTCCCGCATGAGCTCAGACCCCTCCTTTTATTAAAGCTTTATCCCCAAATCAGCACTTTTGAAACAGGAAGTGAAATAGAGGGATATGAGGCATGGCTGGAATGGGTGATCTGTTTGGTGTTTTGAGCAAAACACTTCATAGACATGTTTTTTATATATTTGTATATATCTGAGACCTATGCTATTGCCTACAAATAGCATGATAGGTGACCCAAGCTGTAGGACGCTCCTTCTGTTCTAGTTGACTTGTAGTTTTTGATCTCGAGCAGCTGAGAGGATGTGATTTACCTCTGAGCGGAGATGACGTGGGGGTAAAGCGCGCCGAAGAGACGAGCAGCTGCAGCGGTGAGAGCGACGGGTGGAGGAAGAGGAGCTGGAGTAGCATCACTTTTCTCACACAGGCTGAAGGCGTCGTTGTCCAGAGAGCCTCCTCCCACACTGCTGCCGTGGAGCTGGAAACACACACACAGATTCAAAGGTTGTATTGTCATATGCACAAAGCTACAGTGTAGGAATGGCAATGACATTTTTCTGACCTGAGCTCCTCCAACAATGCAACATATATTAGACCCTCCAGAAAAACGTGATTATGCGATCGCATAATTTACCGCATAATCAGCAAAATGGCGCAGATTTTTAAAAGGCCGCATATTTATCAAAAGGCCGCATAATCCCCGCATCTTTCCACACAAAGTTGAGAAAAAAAAGTTAACTCGTCTTGACGTGAAGTGATGATGATGATGATGCGACGTCATCAGCTCACGCATCACAGAAGGTAAACAACACCGTAGAGTGAACGTGTGGAGCTCACACGAGAGAGAAAACACCAAGATGAACAAATCTAATCCATCTCATTTACCGACGAACATTTCTGCTAAAGACCGGGCAAAGCAGTTCCCCGATGTCTCGCACGAAAGTGGGGGGAAACTATTCTGCACCCCGTGCAACTGTGTTGGAGCATAAGAGAACATCGACGGTGACGACCCACTTTGATTCATTCAAACATTCGAAAATTGCCGAAAGAAAGCTAAACAACTCACGTTCACCGAGGCATCGACCTCCAAAACCCTTTCGAGGGCTACAAGGAACGAAGGTGAGAAGCCTACAAGATTGAAGCTGGTCAGATAACGAACGAGTAAATGAAAACAGAACTGAGGCGGAGAAGTGTGTGTGTGTGTGTGTGTGTGTGTGTGTGTGTGTGTGTGTGTGTGTGTGTGTGTGTGTGTGTGTGAGAGAGTGTGATTAAAATAGCCCAATTGCTTTTACAATAAATAAACATTGTATGTGTTTAATTGAATAGTAAAGGGGTTTAACGTTAGTGGCAGGTTGTGTGTGAGAGAGAATAAATAAGACATCCCAATATTTAAAAATATATATTTAGCATATTTCGCAAATTTCCGCAATTTCACCGCATAAAATCACATAAAAACCCCGCATGTTTAATCGCATAATCAAGGATTTTAGCCCGCATTTTTCTGGAGGGTCTATATATATAGTCAAATACAAAAATACAAAATACAAAGTAGTGCAAAAAGTCTATATACATGTCAATAGAATATGATATGTACAAGAAGAGCATATGAAATTAAATAATGTAAATTAAGACAAAATTATATACGGTTTATTGTGGTGATAACTATTTAAAAA